ATATTGTTGTTTGACTTATGTATGTTGCACTTAGTGGGATAGCCGCGTGATCCTACAAGTTGTGTACTGATACTGCACTTGCTCTTATTTTTGTTGAGTACAGGGCATCTTCAAGCGACTATTGACAAACCTCGCTTAGGAGATCAATGATCGTTCGAATTCAAGGGTGAGCCAATTCTTCCGGGCTGCCATGGGTTCTCTTTCGTCTATGTCCACCATTTTCGGACTTAGACTATGTTCTAGTTAGTTGATTAGTTCATTAGATTGGGGTTGCATCCCTTCTTGTTTAGACTTGTTGAACTTTAGATGTTTTGGTACATTGACTTTTAGGTTCTATGCATTACTTCCGCAATGTTAGTTTATTATTGTTAGACTTTTGTTAGAGTTTATGAGAACTCTATGTATTTCCTTAATATTTAACTTGCTTCCGTAACTTAAATGTCTTAGTTTTAGTTTAGTTGCTTGATTTGGGTTGTAGTAGTGGTTCTCCCACCGGAGGGTTAGTGTGAATACCAATCACGATGATCTGGATCGTGACAAAATAGTAAATAATAAGTACTATTAATAAGGAGAAGAACAAGAGAGGACCCTTTCCTTTCCTATAGAAAGTGCGATAAAATTCGATTACCTACTTAACATTTTATACATTATATTTATCTAATCATCTTCTCCTACTTTTTTTTCGATCTACATCTACCTCTTCTAATTCATGCTTAAATCAATCTTTCACACGTTTTTAATAGTGCATTCATATATTTCCTTTTCATATGTTTGATCCATCCCAGCATTACTTAATTTACTCATCTTGTTTGTCACATAGTTTATTTTCACTTCGTCCCGTATAACTATACTTTTAATTATATCTCTCATAATTAATATGTTTATAGATCTATCTTAATATCTTTTTCTTTATTATATTTATCCTTTGAACATAATCGTTCTTAACAGATATTTTACTTTAAATTTTAGAAATCTCAACTTTGAGTGAAATGAAATTTTTTTAATAGGAAGCTTCTTCTTTTTTTATACGGAATGCAAATCCATATTAATTTGATACAAAATAATTATTACTTTACTATAAAGAAAAAGAAGAAAGCTTTATATGGATTTGAAGGGAGTTCAATTTTTTGTCTCATTATAACTTCTCTTTTAGTTATGTCACATAACTTATATGATTAATTTGAGATGGGTAAACTTTAATATTACACCAATAAATAAAAATTAATGAAAATTACATCATCATTTTCTTCTACTTAAATTACAATTGGTCATATAGTCTCATAGAGTATAATTTCTTTGAATTTTGAATCTTTCAGAAAAAAAAAATGAGATTTCAATCACAAACATGTAATATATTGTTGTTGATTGTTGAATTATAATATTTAAATCTCACTTAAAATCTAACCTTATTATTTTACAGAAAAAGAATGTTTGGTTGCTATTTTTTTTTTAATCTTAAACAATATCCACAAAAACTATATGAAGATTCATGTATTATTTTATGTGAAAAGATCATGCAATAGATTATGAGCACAACTAATAATTGGATTAAAACAAGTTAAATAACAAAACTACTTCTCATAATAGTGTCGAAACATTTATTTTGTTTAAAAGTACAGACATATTTTAAATATATACATTGTATACTTGTTATTTTTTAATGATAACATCTACCAAAAAATAATTCAGCCGTTGTAATACTCCAATATCTGCATTATAATTTATTCTTAAATAAAAAGTTGCATTTTCAGGATTATAATAGCAATAAAATAATGATAATTTTACCATATGACTATTGATATAAAACAAATCAATATTTCGAGAACTAAACATTTATTTTTAATACAGTGAACAAAAGTAATTTAAAAACTAAGTGAATAATTGTTTCTTTATTCTTTAAGCTAGATAAGTAAAAATGAATATTTATTTTTTAGTATAATGGACAAATAAAAGTAGACGGAAAGAGTACTAACTACTTCCTCTATCTATTTTTACTTATTTATAATTAGGGGTGTTTATGATTTGGATAAAAATCGAACCAAATTGATTAAATAAATCAATTTTATTTGGATTTAATTTTAATTAGACATCTATTTTTAGTATAATCAATGAGTAGAAGCTAAGAATGCGCCAATTTCTCTTTTCTTTAACATCCTTTTTTCCAACAAACTAATATACGCGGTCCAAATCGACCACAATATAAGCCCCTTTTTTAGGGTTACAAAAACATCTTTTACCTTTGTCTTCCGGTTCCCCTTTTGTGTTTTTCTCTTTCTCTTGAATTCTACTATCACATTTTTTCCTCTCATTTTAGTGAAAGTAAGATTTGAGAGCATTGATTGAGTATTTGGAGGTGTCAAGGTAAAAGGGTTCTTGAATTTTGTGAATTTCATATCATTTCTATCAATTCTTGATCATAGTTAGGTTGTTGTAGTGAAGAGCTTTTGTGGGTTGGACACTAATTTCTGTTTAAAGTTTTGATTTTTTGTATTGGGTCGTTTTCATTTTGTGAATTTCAAATCATTTCTATCAATTCTTGATCATAGTTAGGTTGTTGTAGTGAGGAATTTTTGTGGGGTTGACACTAATTTCTGTTTAAAGTTTCGATTTTTGGTATTGGGTTATTTTCATTTTGTGTTTGTTATTCGTGGGTTTTGATCAGCTGAGGAAAGTATTGAACGGTTCATCTTTGTTTGATCTTTTTGGGAGATTTTGGTTTGAATTTCAAAGATTTCTTGGGGTATTTGATTGTTTCATGTAAAATTCAAGAAATGCCAGCAACAGATTTTTCAACATTTGGGAGGTCTATTCTGAGTTTACGTCGCGATCAACAAGTACATTCTATGGAATCTGGTGGTCATGAGGGAACTAGCCAAGAGCTAGAGCTTGAAGCTTTTCAAAAGCAAGTAGCTGAGCTTTTCAATGATTTGGCATCTGCTGACTCTGATCAGCTTTTGTCGATTCCTTGGATTCACAAGCTATTGGATGTGTTCCTTTCTTGCCAGGAGCAGTTTAAGTCTGTTGTGTCTAAGAATAAGGGGTTGTTGAATAAATCCCCTGCTGACCGTTACATAATGGAATATTACGAAAGGAGTGTGAAAGCTTTAGATGTGTGTAATGCGATACGAGATGGGATTGAGTTGATCAGGCAATGGCAGAAGCAGTTGGAGATTGTTTATTATGCATTGGATAACCAGAGGAGTATTGGGGAAGGTCAAATTCGTCGTTCCATGAAAGCCTTGATTGATTTGGCAATTGGAATGATTGATGAAAAAGAGTCTAGTTCAAGTTTTGCTCATAGAAACAGGTCATTTGGACGAAACAATGCTCAGAAGGATCAGAATTCGTTGGGCCAATTTCGATCATTGTCATGGAGTGTATCGCGGAATTGGTCTGCTGCTAAGCAGCTTCAAGCAATTGGCCAAAACTTAGTTGCTCCAAAAAATAATGAAATTACTGCCACCAATGGATTAGCTGTAGCTGTTTTTACAATGAGTTATGTGCTTTACTTTGTAATGTGGACGCTTGTTGCTGCAATTCCCTGCCAAGACCGTGGCCTTCAAACGCATTTTCATGTTACTAGGCAATGCATTTGGGCTGCTCCAGTTCTCGCCCTCCATGAGAGGATTTTGGAGGAGTCAAGAAAGAGGGAACGTAGAAATGCTTGTGGATTGTTGAGGGAGATTAATAAGATTGAGATATGCGCCCGCCACATGAATGAATTGACCGATACCATTCACTTCCCCCTTTCAGAGGAAAAGGAAGGGGAAGTTAAGCAAAGAGTTCAGGAGCTTGGGATAGTCTACCATGGTCTAAAAGATGGATTGGGCCTGTTGGAGCGTCAGGTACGAGAAGTGTTTCATAGGATTGTTCGAAGCAGGACAGAAGGGCTCGACTCTATCGGGTGAGGGATTCATCATTGGCATAGGTAAAACAGAATCGAGATTCCATTTAGAGTTGTAGTAGTCGAGTGTGGGCACCTCTGCAACCATTATTAGAAGAGCAGATTATGCTCTTAGTTTTCCCCTTGTTTCTTTTTGTTTGCCCTTTTTTAGATGAGAAGAATAGGGAGGATGAAATGGTGCAATGTCCCAAAATAGTCTAAAGAGGTAAACTCATGTATTTATCGCTATGTATTATGTAAAGAATGCAAAATAGTTGGATCTCTGGTCCATGTTGTATTGTTCATCTTGTGTGAGGTTGTTTAGTCAGTTGTCTTTTACCTCTGTAACTGAGTTTCATTTCAACATTTTGCTTATGATGCTATAATTGGTGATATATATCATTTATTGAAGCTCTTGCATTAGATTTTTCTAAAAAAAGGAAATGAATCAGCAGGAAGGAAATTTATTGTAATGTGTGTAAGAGTTGTTTAGCAGCTGTCTATGAATAACCATCCACACAAAGAATCTCTTATTTTTACTTTTATTTCTCTTATAGTTTGGCATTTTCTTTATCGTATTTCAATGATGATGCCAAGCAAAGTTAATCCTATTCTTCTGTCATGGTTAACTGTCGTATTTCGGGTATGTTCTCCAAATACTTATCGTACGATATCTGATCTTTCATTGCACAAGTCTGTTCTCTTTACATTCCATAGCCTGCTGGTCACAAACCACTTTCTCTTGTTCCAGGGGATAACATTTTGTTTTTTGGTTCTCATTTTCTCTTAACTTGGAAGTCGGAAAATACCCTTTCTGGAATCTTAAGATCTTGATCTATGGATTCTGGACCAATGTTCTTTTCCTCTGTACGGGAGCCTTGGTGTAACCGGTAAAGTTGTTTTCAGTTTTCACGTGACCAGGTGGTCACGGGTTCGAGCCGTAGAAACAACCTGTTGCAGAAATGCAGGGTAAAGCCGCGGACAATAGACCCTTGTGATCTGGTCCTTTCCTGAACTCCGTGCATCGCGGGAGTTTAGTGCACTCGGTTGTCCTTCTCTGACAGGAGTGCTGGCTTTGTCATTGACTGTCTTCGCGGTCAATAGCAGAACTTTGTTAATGACTTATTATAAGGTTTTCTTGACCAATGACTATCTGAAGAAGTTCTTGTTTTCTACTTGAAATTGTCTGATCTTTCAGGTTAGTATTAAACAATTCTCATCATGTGAGCTGAAAGGAAGTTGTGGTCTCAAGATATTGGTCAAAGTTGTGGCTTTCTTGTTGACCGAGTCAAAAGTTTCGATAATGGTAGCCACAAAGTTAATTCTAGTCAAAGAAAAGCATCTTCAGGTAATGACTAATTTCTCACTAATTTGCCTGCATGTGCTTGCTTATCTATTGCACAAGATATATTATTATATATAACAAGTTTTTGTACGTTTATGTCTTGAGCCACGTCTCAATCTCAGCTGCTATCGTTTATAAGAGATGTCTTTTTGGTTACATTATTGTGAACAAACAACACGTTACATTGATAGTGTAAAAATCCTTTATATTGTAGCCTGTAGGTGCATAAGTTAAACTCGGTAAACTATTGTTCCATTTAAATCAGGATCCAATTCTAATGTTTAACAATGTATTCATGTGTTTGGAATCAAACGCAAAATCTTGTTTGAAGGTGAACTTGGACAAAACTTTGTAAGAAGACTTTCGTCCTTGTGACCTCATAAACCAAAGTATAATTGGTTATGAAGCAAAGCATTTGTGCTTTTCTCTCTAGTCTAGCATATGCTTTTGTTAGTTCTTGACTTTAAATTAGTATTTTAACTTGCTCAATCAAGTTTCCCCCAACAATCATCAAAAATGGATACGGAATTGAGATCCAAGGTAGCAAGAGTTTCAGATGAATTCAACTCCAGTGAATTCTTTCAGTTTCCGAAAGATCGAGCTGGCCTTGCTTTCCAGTCTACAGAAACAAACACTTTGTTCGTCATCACTGCTCATTTGAAAGGTTATCTCTAGTATGTTTGACTTATTCTATGAGAATGTCGTTTCCTGGTATTTGGTTACTACAGGGGCAGAGGTAGAAGCCTAAATACGGGTTCTGCTGAACTCAATAGCATTTGCTCGAAAGTTTACATTGGTTATTTTTATTTGATTGTGGAAAATATTGTGTAGGTTATACGCGAGGAAGCGTAAAGGTTGATCTTAATGAGGACAAGACTAAACTGGTGGTAACATGTGAGAAGCCGGTCCAAGAAACTGTAACGATCGGGAGTGAAGTGATCAAGAAAGGTGTACAAATTAGAAGATTTACAGAATCTTTCAAGATTCCAGAAGGGGTAATCGTGGACGAAATTATAACTAACTTCAATGAGGAAACCTCCAACCTGACTATTACCATGCCAAAGAGAATGAAGGAGCCAGAGCTTGTTACACAGACCAGCTCAGAGAATTTGCCTTATACAGTTCTTAAAAGAGCGAGATTTCAAGAAGACGAAGGAGCAGCTGATTCAGTAACTGCATATCGAAAAGGACTAATCGAACAACATGGTGCTAATGATGAATTGCCCAGAAGGGAAACCAAAATAGGTGATGATAAAGTTGAATGTAGAAATTTGAAAGATGATGAAGTTTGTGAAAAAGAGGAAGATAAACTGCCTAAGAGGAGCAAGGTATGTGTTCCTGTTATTGTTGGATCAGCTGTAATGTTATCTGTAGTTGTCTTTGTGATTCTTTTTATGAGAAAAAAGAAGCAACCTGGAAAAAGAAAAGATTAAGACAAAGAACATTTGTTATACATGTATACATGTAACTTTCAAGAATTATTATGTTCTTTTCTAGTATTCAATTTATTGTGAGATCTCGAATATCACATAAATTCTTGGGGTATTCGTAAAGAGATCAAGATATGCCAGACTCTTCTTCACAATCAAATATTTCAAGAAAATCCTTCATGGAGATCAAGTCCAAATCATACTGGTTCGAGATATATCATATACGTTACTGACGACTCTCAAATCACGGAGAAATCATAGAAGAGAAGAATTAAGGGAGGAATAAAATTGTAGTCATTGTTTATCAATAATATTCTTGTTTCTTCAATAGGTCAAATATATCCGTATATTATTAGAAATGGTTTAGATATACACAACAATGATGATTGAAGAATGACTACAATCAATTATACATTTCTAAGATTATTAGCCAAATTACTTGGCTAGTAAATGAACTCGGGGAGCAACAAAATTAACGGAAGACAAATTTTGGATTTATTTAAAGGGAAAAAGGACAAATATACCTTCGAACTATCGTAAATGGTATGCAGATATTCTCCGTCATACTTTTGGGACATTGGTGCTTTTGCTGTCCAAAAATTAGAGCATATATGTCCTTCACTCTAACATAAGACTAAATAAGGACACGTGGCACAATCTTATCCGTCAATCCGATATTTAATAAATGTCGGGTCGGTGGATAAGATTATGACACGTGTATGTCCGTTAGTATAAAATGTATATATGCTCTAGTTTTTTGGATGACAAGGGCACCAATGTCCCAAAAGTATGATGGAGGGTATTTGCATACCATTTACGATAGTTCGGGGGTATATTTGTCATTTTTCCCTTATTTAAATGTTTGGTGTGGAAAAATAGAACTTGATCATAATTAATTTAGTTTAATTTGATTTTAACTAAAAAAAATCAAATCGAATCAAATCAATATGATATGAATATAATTTTTAAAAGTATTTTACTATAAAAATAACAGTGATATAATTTATAAATATTTTAAAAACTTTTCCATAGGTTTATCTTTTAACATATTATTTTAAATTTTAATTTAGAATTTTGAATAGTCTAGTAAGTTTTATAGCTCATAGATATTAGTAGCTTAAATAAAGTTCAAGAAGGATGGTTTACAATTTCTAATTGTCCAGTGTATCTCCCTTTGCCACACCGTGTTCCCAAGAGGGATGGTTTGCGACAGTAGTACTTTCTTCTAAATGATTTTAGATACCTCACATTTAAATAGAAGATGCTCCATTGTTTCATTACATATAGGTTTAGACAATTAAAATACGTAATATAATTTTATTCTTTTAAATATCTAGTCATATAATTAATACTTATTATTAAATTTATTTTAGCATACCTTAATACTTTTAAATTATCATAATTTCTATTACGACTTATTAATATGCACTATTTGTTTTATGTGATTTTTCTAAATAAAAAAATTGTTATTGAATATTTTATTGCCATCTCTCATTAGATATATATTTTTTGCACGTTATACATTATTTTTAGGACAAACAACACAAATTTCACTAGTTTAGGCCTAATTACGTGTCTTCCCGTGAGTTTTAGAAATTATCACTCGTGCCAGATTTCGATCCTCAAATACATGTATTTGACGCATCCAGATACATGTATCTCATATACAAGTGGGTGATAATTAGGTGTAATTTGTTCCAGAGACACTATATCCAAGTAAATTTGCATATATCTGAATTTCTCGCTCGCCTCTCTTCTGTCTCACTCGCCTCTCTCCCTTTGTATTTGTGTCTCATAAAGTGTCTAATATTCCAGATACATGTATATAGTGTGATTCACATGTATCTAAGTCTCTCGCTCACCTCCCTCGTATTTCGCCCATCCTCTCCTCTCTCGCCCGTGTCTCTCCCTATGCATTTGTATTTTAGAGTGTATCTGGTAGCAAAAATATATGTATTTTAAATGTATATGGTTTGAAACTTGATATGAATTATTAATTAGTTAAAGAATTAGTAAATATGACAAGAATATTTGTATAATTAAATAATTATTCCTTAATTTTCTCAGGTACGTAGAACCAAAAAGGTAATTATCCCTTAGAAGAACATTAACATGTGACGGTCGATACAATAACTTAAAAGGAAAAAAAACATACATATAATGCTATTTGTGTTTAGATTTCATAAATATATAGTGCTATGTATATTATACTTGCATTCATTATTATAGTAAAATATATTGTATTTATATGCATGATAATATTCGCATGTATATAATATTTTTATGTGAAGTAGATTATATTTATATGCATAGTAATAATAATAATAATAATTAAATGTATCATATTTACGTGTATAATATGTGTATTCGCACGTAAACAATATCTCTATCTAATTGTATTTGTGAAAATAAGTATATTCACACATAGTTGCTATAAAATTTCAAATTATTGCTATACAATATATATAGAGAAAAAAACTATTATTATAAAAAATAATTTAAAAACTGAGTTAGCTAAGCCACGTAATTTTCCCCAACTTTAATGAGATTTAGGTCCCACGAGATCATTAAAATAACATCATTTTTCCTGAACTTTTCAACTTGGCTTCTTACGTAATTAAATTTGTCATTTACATGTTCTTAAAAAAGCGGAACAAGCTAAAATTGTGCCGCGAAACTTGAAATGAATTTAAGTTATATATATCAGAAGATTTACGATTATAATTTAATTAGTTAAGACATTTATTGAAAAGTAATTCAATTATTTAAATTATGACCTAATTATAAAAATTAAATGGCATTTATATTGTTAGTGTATAGATCTTAACTTGTGTTACCGACTAAATATCAAAGTTTATAGTCGCAAGGAGGCAGAATTGTCTTTGTTTAAGGAGAGTTAATCGATACCTCTTTATCAAAAAATACATTATGTTGATACATCAACTTTTTTTGTGTATATATTACATGTTGAATTTTATTTTATTTTATATTTACTTTTTTAGATTTTACATTTCCTCAATAAAAATTTTGACTTCGCAATATAATAATGATAAAACACATTTCGTTTGGATCAATAAGTACATTATATGATGAAAATTCAGATAAGATAATCATAAAGTACATTATAAGATTCCCAAGATAAGATATAAGGTATAGTTGTACGTGTAGATATACATTAATAAAAAATATTCTTAGACGTTACAACTATATATATTATTGCAACTGTTAACAAATAGTACCTAAATTACTTAAAGACGTTAGTATTATACATGAATAAAGCCTGATTTTATAAAAACTATGTACTTTTTTATTTTTCCTCTTTTTTTGGCCTTTTGTTAGGTTTTAGAATCTTATGAAAACGTCATAATTAGTTTTCATTTTTTGGTTCAAGTTTTGTAACAAAAGTAGTAATATTGCAGTTTCAACTGCCGCCATATTTAGGGGTTCATACAAATCCACTAATTTTTGCCATATTAATATACTCCTTCGTTTCAATATATTTGTCATATTTTAATTTGCAAGTAAAAATTATGAATTTTATAATTTTAAATTAAAAATATATTAATAATATTAAAATATTATTGAATCTTATAATTTTAAATATGTCACGTAAAAAATTGAATAAAAATACAAAAATATTTTTTTATTTTTTAAAATGGACTAAAAAGAAAGAAGGACAAACTATTTGAAATGGATAGAGCATAGTTATCGTGGTTATACATATTAATTTGCAATTGAGTTCGCTATAAGAATTTATAAATTTCAAATTCTAAATTCGTCTTCATTATACCTAACATCTTATATATCATGTATAAGAGTTAAGACTATAAAATTCAAAAAATATTGAGTAAATTAATTATATACATCTTTAATTTAATTAAGCCTCCGTCACCAATCACCAACTTATGTTTGCCATTACTTTATATTGCGTTGAGTGATTATTTCATTTAAAAATAGAGAGAAGTATCAAAAACACTCCTAAACTTGGCGTAAATTATTAGTTTCATCCTCGAACTATTGACAGCCTTAAAAACACTCATATTCTTGACTAACTAAACTTAGATATACCCCTAATACACTCCTGATATGCAACATGACATAACAAGTGGTCTCAAACTTTTGTAAGAGGATGAAATTCTTAATAAAAATCGAGAAAAGTGTTGAAAACACCCATAAACTTGACGAGAATTCAGGGGCATTTTACTAAAGTTTCAGGGGTATATGTAACTTCAATTAGTCAAGTAAAGGGTGTTTTTAAGGCTGTAAATAATTCGGAAATGAAATTAATAATTTACGTCAAATTTAGGAGTATTTTTTATACTTCTATCTTTAAAAATATAATATTAATATAACAATTTATTTTATCTTATTCTTAACACTCCCATCACATTCAGAATTTTTTTAATATGTGAAAATTCATTTTGATAAGGACCACTAAGAAACTTGAATCCACGATATGTTGAAGCTAGACATAATTAGTTAGTTAATTTAGTATGATTGGATTATATTTAAGGAAATTTTTTTTGCAAGAAACAGTTGTGTTAGGTTTTTTCAAAGCCTACCTAATTCTATTAATTAGTTGTGGGGAAGTTACACGTGTCATAACCCCCTTCCTTTAAAAGGTGGAGTAAAAGAAGAAAACACAGAGAAATTAATAGGATGTATGGGACACTAGCTAGGTAGGCAAAACTCAACAGGATCTAGAGATAAATATTATTGATACTGATACAGCGGTAAGTACTCATTAATTGAATTTAAGATTTTGAATTTAAATTTTCGAATGTAAAATCGTTCTTAATAAAGAATGTTTTACGCTCAAAATGAGATATTCTAATGTAAATATGAATTAATCAGACTCAAAAGAAAGAAATATCGACCATCAAATTAAAAAAATATATACTAGTCAATAGTCATCAACAATTTGAACCTTTTATGTATACACAATTCTATGGAGTATTTTTAACTTTCTATTAGGGTGTGTTTGGCCCAAAAAGGAATTTCTTTTCCACAAAAATTGTC